CTGCAATCCATCTGACTGTGTAGGCATCAATGCCACAATCGTCTAGTTTTTTTAATGAGGATGGGGTGGGAGACGGTGTCAAAGGCCTTGCTGAAGTCTAGAAAGACTACGTCCATGGCAGCACCTGCATCCATTGCCTTTGTGACCTGATCATAAAAGGCAATCAGGTTGGTCTGACATGACCTGCCCCTAATGAAACCGTGCTGGTTGCCCTTGAGCATCATCCCTGAAGCCGGCCCATCACAGATGTGCTCCTTGAGGATCTTCTCAAAGAGTTTCCCAAGGATAGAGGTAAGACTGACGGGCCTATAGTTGCCTGGGTCCTCTCTCTCTCTCTTCCCTTTTTTGAAGATGGGGACCATGTTAGCTATCTTCCAGTCATCCGGCACCTGGCCTGAGCACCACGAGCGCTCGTAAAGCCGTGCCAAATCCAAATCCTTAAGATGAGGGCATAAAGCTGTGATATGAGCTCCTCTGTTCCCTGCGGGAAGATTTCAGCAGGTATGCCGTCGGTCCGTTGGCTCCAGATGCTTTATAGTTCTTCATCTGTTTGATGTCTTTCCTCTCGTCATCAAGGGTTGGAAGGCTTTTGAGATCATCTCTGGGTGTTGCGGGGTGGAGTTAAGAGCACTCTCATTAACAACAGAGTCTTGTTTGAGAAGGTCTTCAAAATGCTGCTTCCAACGGGCATTGATGTCCCCTCTTTCCTTGATCAGGGCTCCTCTGTCCTTAGGTCTCAAAGGGATTGGTCCCTGAGTGCTCAGACCATAGATGGCTTTGCTGGCATTGAAAAAACACTGCATATCGCGGATATCAGCGATATCTTGAATCTCCTTTGCTTTGTCTTCCCACCACCTATCCTCCTTTGGACCTTTGCCTTGGCTTGTTGGAGATTGAGTTTCTTGTGCCTGGAGTTGATGCCGTTCTGCCAAGCGCAAAAGGTCTTGAACTTGCGGTTGATAAACTCTTGGAGCTCCCAGTCATTCTTATCAAACCAGTCTTGATGTTTCCTGGTAGAGAATTCAAGTGTCTCTTCACAGGCGCTACTAATAACGGTGGACTTGAAGACACCCCAAGAACTGCTAGCTTTCTACCATTGTTATTGATTGGAATTCACCAGTTTTTCTTTGATGCACTGGTAGAAGAGGTCTCACTTGATTGGGGCCTTGAGTCCTTTGATATTGATCTTCTGTCAGCATTGCTTCTGCTACAGCCATTGTTGGGGAGCCAGTTTGAGTGACCTAACTGAGCACATGAGTCAGTGACTGGTCCAGCAGTCATCAGGTCCTAGCATAGCTTGGGTCATGCAGACATGTTTGTGCTCCCAGGCATGAACATTGATGTAGTCAGTCAGGTGCCAATGCTTAGGTAATGAGTGTTGCCATGATGTCTTGTGCCTGTTTTTCTGGAGGAACATGCTGGTGATGGTGAGTCCATGTTTTGTGTATTTAGCCAAAAGGAGGATGCTGTTAGAGTTGGCCTTCCCTAGCCTCATCCAAGTGCTGAACGACTTTCTTGTAACTGCCTTCTTCATGCCAGTTCATGACTAGCAGCCTCTAGACTCCACAGTCCTGCTCCCACCATCACTAGCTGGTCTCTGAAGGGCTTGTAAAATGTGCTGGAAAAGCCAGGTTCATGAAAGATGCCTGTGCATGATTTCTTTAATTGTGGAGAAGCTGCTGCACATCAGCTTCCACACGGTTCTTGACAGAATGAGATCTTAATCCAGTAGCAAGGAAGTTAAGACCATTGGAGATTTCACTCCACTGCAGTTTGGATTCTGTTGGGTTTTTATTATGGAGAGGGTGTTGATAGTAGTGACAGTGGAGATGTGGCTGACATTTTAAGTGTTTCTTGCCAAGGCAAGGCTGTGTTCCATTTTATGTCTGCTGGGCAGTGACTTGTGATGATGAGTTGGGCAAGGTTAGCAGGCTGTTTGAAAGCCAGAAGCAAAGGAACTGAGAATATTTCTCTCATGGTCTGATCTTTGACTCTAGTCTGTAGTTGTTTGGCAATTCTTCTGATCGGTTCCAGTTTGGGGTGGTAGGCGACCACCAGAGGGGTGCAGTTGCAGGGGTTTTCTTTTTGTGTTGTAGCAGGTTACTGCAGAGTATTTGGATAGCTTTTGAAAATATATCATCTGTTTCTCTACTGGAGTGTCCTTGTTGTATAAAGGTAGATTTTAGGGGGCCCAGATGGGCATCATAAGTTGTTATCAAAGTAAATGTGGTTGTATCTGAGGTTAAAACGGAAGTTAAGCAAGGCTTGTGGCCATTGTTCCTGGTGACACCAAGGGGGGCCCTAGTGAACAGACTTTCCCCCAGTCCCTGCTGGTGGCCCCTGATAAAGTTGTAGGCAGCCACA